CCATTAGGAGTAGAGATTAGGCTAACCTCAACGTTGACGCAGGAGGCCGATGGTAATGAATGTTCCATTTAGGCCTTGTACAATGCAAGGTGTTTAGGAAAGGTGCTTGGAGAAATAAACCAAGCTTTTCTTAAGCACCGATGCTTATTTGTACATGACGGACGCGTAATTAGGTGTCTCTTCTGTAGAAATAGGCACCGATGCTTCTAGTAGCTTGTATAACGGAAGATGCTTAGAAAAATAAACTGAGTTTTTCTATAGCACCGGTGCCTATTTCTATAGGAGAGACGCTTAGTTAAGTGTCTATCTTGTAGAAATAAGTACCGATGCTTAAAGAAAGCCGGATTTATTTTTCTAAACACCTTTCCTGAGCACCTTCCATTGTACAAGGCCTAAGGAAAAGATCCTTGGCACCCAAGACACCACGTACGGGTAAATGCAACGGCAACGCGGCGGAGAAATTTTGGCCAATCTCTAGAGTTGCACTATGCCCGTAAAAAAGATGTGAACACGTTACACTTACCGCACGATGACTGAAAACGGTGCCGGTGTCGCGCCACTACACGTGGGCGCAGTAGCAGTACTCGCGACTTGTCCTAGTCCCGAAGTCAGAGGCCTCACTGCGTGTCCGTATCCCTGTCAGGCCCAGACCAGGTAGTTAAGTCAGTTACCACGGCCACAAGTCAGAACCAAGTCATCATCATCACAAGTCAAAATTACTACCGTACTCCCACTGTAACTTCGCAATGCAGATCGAAATTAGTAACCACGAGCGAGCGAAATGAATGCCACACGACGCAAGGGCGAGACGGAGGCAGACAGACGGTGGTGCGCCATTAAACCTCCTCCAACCTTGCCTCGCCGTCACAGGGAGGGGCAGCGCACATTAAACCCCAGCGGCGCGGCCCGGCCGCCGACGCCGTCCACGGCCGTGGCCGCTGGCAGGGCACGCATGGCCTCGTCTTCTGGTCAGATACAAGGCACGCCAAGCCTGGCCTCATTCTCAGTTTAAGAACGGATACATCATATTCCCTCTGTAAACTAATATAAGAGCATTTAGATCACTAAAATAGTAATCTAAACAATTTTATATTAGTTTAGTACGTGTGAAAGAGAAGAAAAATAATGGCGTGGCGTCGCGCCGGTGCCCACGCCGTCAGCCACAGCGAGAAATTGACAATCGAGCGGACGTCACGTCGGCGGCGGCACAAAAACTTGCGGGCTTTTCTTCCTTTGCATTGATTGATGGCGCGAGCCGGGTAACGGCGAAATTATGCTACTAGACTAGAGCAAAAATGACACGAAAGAACCAAGAATTCCAAGGAAGAAGAAGAAGAACTGGCCTATACATATGCTATATCTATGTTACTGGCCGCGGGCATCGATCGTTCCTCCATTGTAAGTCCTTTCCGGCCGCGCAGTCGAGGGGTGCGCCGCCGCGGAAAGCAGGAACAAGAGAGGACGATCGATCCTCGCTGAAGAACCCGGGCGCCTGCCGGTGATCCGTC